TAGAGGTAGTTATAACAGTATTGGCATAATAATCGTAAGCTAATATAAATATTTAATCATCGAGGAACTCTTCAAACTTCTTACCTACTCTTTATGAGAGAGATGTAGAGAAAAAATGTAATTCCATTAATTTCTAAGGAAAGTAAAATTCCATTTGATCTGATATAATGTTATAATCCCCTCAGACCAAATAAAAAGTAAAGACGGAGTTCGCTGAATAACAAAGTGAAGCCGATTTTTAGCAATTGTAGTGTGCGTGCCAGTGTGACCATAGTCATTAAAAACACCCCAATAACTTAACGTTACGACGTTATAAAGTTAACGTTAACGCTATGCTATTTAATAATATAATGTAAATTCGTTGGTCAATATCAGCATAGATATTCTAAAATCTTTAAGAGTAGGTAATTATTATTGGAGGCCATACATTAGAGATGGCCATACTTCACATTTTGATGTCGGTTTGGAAATGAAAAAATGTATGCAAATCTGTTTAGTAAAAATAAAGTAAAAAGTTAAACCGGTTTTTTATTTTTTACTTCCTTATTCTAACACTTCAATATTTGTGATCTGGACCTCTATGTAGCATTTTGAATGCAAAATTTATTATAAATATCATTTCTATACAACAAGAAAAAAATACATAACGTAATTTGTTTTGTCGGAAATAACGCGTTATTGTTATAAGTTACCTGATTTCGGGGTAAATAATAACGTTTAACGATGGTAATATTTGACTGAGGTTTTGTGTTCCAAGCAATTACTTAAATTTAATTTTTAAATTACTGAAAATGTAAGTTTTCTTCAATACTTATATGTGAAATGTGATTCCATCCTGCTTTTTATTTTTTGAGGATTGGTTTTTAAAACCTTTTACTACACAATTCGGCAGTTTGTAAGAAATTTTTGATTTTTTTTATAATGAAACGTTCCGCACACTGTCTTTAGTTAGACTGATAAGGAAGGCGTAGTTTTGTTATGTATGTGTGTGTGAAACTGTGTACGAATACGCCGAGGCGTAGTTTTGTCGGCTTCACTTTTCTGTTAGGCAAAACTCCGTCTATACTTTTTATTTGGTCTGAGATAATCCCTACTAAAATTATAAATGTAAAAGTAACTCTGTCTATTTGTTATGCTTTCACGTCTAAACCACCGAACTTATTTTCATCAAATTTGGTACAGAGTTAACTTTGAGAAAGTAGGCTACTTTTTATCACGAAAAAAGGGGTTCCTGGAGACCACGCGGGCTAAGCCGCTGGTGGAAAGCTAGTACAATTATAAATTGTAAACAATAATAATTTAAATATTTACTTTTTAATGACAGTTTGTATATCTAAATAAGCAGTAAGTATGTTACACTTACCGTTAATCCCAGCTCTCTGGATATTTCGCTAATATTCATTCCATCTTCACGTAATGCGACGATACGACTCCTCTCTTGTATAGAGAGGTTCCTCGAAGACATAGTCCAAATTCAAGCCAAGGTCACGTTAAGCAAATTAAAAGTCCAGTTTCTAGCACGGTGGTCAGGTATTAACAGGTATCAGTCCAATGAGAATGCGGAGGTTGAAAGAAAATCCAGAGTAAGCACGTCAACAATTAGCAATATGCAAAAAACGACTAAACTAAAAAAATAACAACATTGTTATTGCATTCATTGTATTTGTTGCATACGTAGAGCCATACTGATTGGTCATAGTAAAATACTACGACCAATGAAGATGCGCCCGTAACTCCGCCCCCTAAAATTGCATCAAGTGTGTGCCAAGCGAACGAGATTTTGAAGTGGATAGGCACGTGAGACCACCACTGTACCTACACCGTTTTAGTACAATTTAAACAGATACAAAAGAATTGCCTTAACTGCCTTGATCCATGTAGTGCTGTAGTTTGAGTTTGATGGACACTTTTATTTTAGAAAAGTATTTTATAAAAACAATATAGATATCGCTGAATCATTTTGAATGAAATTTGGATGTTAAAATTTCCATAAAATGAGCTTAATCAGCATTGCAGTAAACAATATTTTTCTCATTACAAAATTGTCCTAATGGTTTAAAAAAGAAATCAATTGAAGTGATTTAATTTATTTACAGATATATTTAATGACAATATGTAGAAAAACGTAATTTGCCCCAGCGATCGTCTCGCCAACGTAGACCCACACGCTTCCGTGATCCCTAGTTGAACTCGCCCGTGCGCCGACGAATGGTTCAGCTCGACGAATTTGACGCTCGAATAGTGAGTCTGCTGGCGAGCCCACAGAACACGGACGTCTTTCTGTATTCTGTGGGCGAGCCACTACTGCGCGCCGCGCACGCGTAATCAGTAGTTTCCCGCGCTCCCCTTGCTGTCGTGACAGCTCGCGCGGTCCGCCGTTAAAACGTATTTGTTTAGTTTAGTTTATAATTAATTAGGTTAGGGTTACGTTTAGTTCTATAACTTTCTTGTTTGTATTTTATATTTTCTGTGATCGCCAGACAGCACAAACCGTTATTGTACTTTATGTCATTTTATTGGTTTGAAAACCACCACATGTAAACGTTCCCGGCCTAAATTGGCAGCCCAACGTTTGGCCGAATAGACTGTGCCTAGTATTAAGTAAAGTTTTGATGTGTTAATAACTGTGACGAGTGATCTAGTGTAAGTGACGTAGACTATTTTGTGGACTTCTAGTGTGAAGATTATCTGTTTATGTAACTAGGCTTTTTCGTTTATATACGTGCCGGCCTCTCACATTTAGTACCGATCTATAAATTATTTGGATTACCTACGTAGTGCTAGAGACTTTTTTTATTCCACTTTTTATTTGTTTTACAAGCATATAAGACATTAATTTTCATAAGACTAACAAATACGTTAATTGTGTTTTTGGACTCTTATAAGTAGTAATCATTATTCAGACCTTTTTTTCGTAGAAATAGTGAACCACAAGTTTTAGTGTAATGACTTTTTGTGTTATAAACTTGGTGTTAAAAACATAAGTAGGTGCAAAAACATTATCCCTTCCCTTCGGATCTTGATGGTGACTAGACGTGTATATTAATTAAAGTGTAAAATTAATAACTTTTAAACAAATAAATTAGCACAATAAATAGGAGTGCATGAAGCTGGGGAGTTGCCTCACAGTGACGAAAACTGAGGAGTGAGTTCTCATTGACCTATTATTCTATTCAAGTTGAGGGACGACAACAGATCACTTAAAGGACAATGTCCAAATTAGCCTATGAACCTCTAAGAATATCTTGTATATCATAATTCTTATCATATTTTATGATTAATATATCAGCTTTTAAAATCAAACGGACACTGCCCATTTTTGTAATTACTTTAAAAAGTAATATCAATACATTTGATAAACTTCAATAAACGCTGCCACCATATTTTAATAAGTTGACAAATCAGGATCTATGCACAATTTAAAGCGCTTGACATTAAAACGAGACTCAAAAAACCCTGGTTGGCTGTATCATTGATACAGCCATATTTTATGCGTGGATACGTCTATGTATGAATGGATATATGAGTTATTGATAAAAAAAATAATTAACAAATTGAAGACACTAAACACCAAATAAATAAATAAATATTCGTTGCATTCATTTGTTGAATGAAAAAAGTATTCACTAGCGCCAACAGATGGCGTTAATGCATATACTCCTGCTGACAAAATGCCCTTCCCCCTGCAGAGCAAGCATAGTTCACTTTTACGCCAATAGATGGCGTTAGTGCATATACTCCTGCTCACAGAATGACCCCCCTGTAGAACGAAAACATAGACGTATCCACGTCAACAAATTGAAGACACTAAACACTAAATAAATAAATATTCGTTGCGTTCATTTATTGAATGAAAAAAGTATTCACTAGCGCCAACAGATGGCGTTAGTGCATATACTCCTGCTGACAGAATGCCCCTCCCCCTGCAGAGCAAGCATAGTTCACTTATACGCCAATAGATGGCGTTAGTGCATAAGCTCCTGCTCACAGAATGACCCCCCTGTAGAACGAAAACATAGACGTATCCACGTCAAAAAACGTTCGTAGATTTTTAAGCGGCTGGAAGCGCTCTTTTACATACGTTTGACAATTTTGAACTTTTGAAGTTTTGTTTGACAATCGCTTTCATACTCGCGTTGTGTTTACGTCGCTTGAGTTTGTTTGTACGATTTCTTGTGTCTTGTGAATATTAGTTATAAAATAACGACTTGGCTTGAACTAAGGACTGATTTCGTCTTATAATATCGACCTCCGGCAGTGATTTACGGCATAACCTACTATAGACGACGACTTGGCATTTATTTAACGGACATTAACATGGAATCTGGGTGTGTTGAAGTATTTTGTGTTAATTGCGGTTCAGCTTCTGGTTGCATGGTATTAGAAGATGAGCAGATCCTTCAGTGTATACAACACTGGGTTGCTCCAAGATTGGTAAGTACATGCTCCCGATACAGAACCTACAGAACCTTTTAAAGCAAACAACAACAATCAACATTTAAAGCAAAGTAGACATACATTTCCCTACAAAAAGCAAGTAAAACAAACATTAAAAAGAATCTAACCGCACGCTACAATTGTTAAAATTATAACCTCAAATCCAAAATATATTTTTTGATTTATACATTTCTTAGAAGTGTCCGTTACTTAAACATATATTTAGACGTAAATATAGATACTTTAGAACACGAAAAGTGATAGTACATGCTTAGAGGTTCTTAGGCGAAAAATGTATGGGGGCTGGACATTGTCCTTTGCAAAGTTAAAAAAGACAGCGATTGTTTTTAAAACAGCATAACCAAAAGAGATAACAATATTATTCGCACTACCGTATTTCAGAGGTCTACTTAAATTTGGCGGAAAGCACATTTGTATGGAACTCATCGATCGGTGTCCAGTTAACTAGACCCCACATACTGTCAGCGTGTTTTCGCAACGAGGTGAGGTTCCTGGTTTTTTATATTCTCCTAGTACTGTAAGCTACACTAACATCTTGCATAATGATATCGCGCTCGCCACCTAAGTCGCAGCCATCTACACCACCGCCACAGTATACCCAACCGGTCGCCGCCGCTGCTAATCTTATGCTACACAAACACTATCCTTCCGATCCATATATTTCATCTGATCCGAAACACCAACAAAACATCTCCAGCCGGTCTAAAAGAAGAAGAGAGGACGATTTAGAAGAATTAAAGTCTGAGGTCAAGACTATGTTTAAGGAAATGTTAAAAGAGCAACAACAGTACTTTTCGAACCTGAATGGGAAAATTGAAGAAATTAAAGTACAGAATGACTCATTAAAACAAGCAATAGAATTCAACTCTGAAAGATACGATTACTTCCTAAAACAAATGGAACAATTTGAACAAGATAAGAAACAAGATCGCCAGCATATCCGAAATTTAGAAGACAAAGTTGAACAGTTAGAAAGGCAACTCCGTACTTCAAGTCTGGAAATAAGGAATATTCCTCAAAAACCTAAAGAAACTAAATTGGATCTGGTAAAAACAGTCGAGACACTAAGTAAATTAATAGACGCGCCAATCCAATCTTCAGAAATAAAATATATTTTTCGCATTAACTCCAAATCTGAAAAGAAAACAATAGTGGTTGAATTTACATCAGTGTTGACCAAAGAAAAAGTTACACAATCGGTCAAATAATTTAATAAAAGTAACAGGGACAATAAAATAAACACTAAACATTTACTTATCGATGGGCCTAAGAACCTATTTATATTTCGGAAAACCTTACTTCCAAAGCCAGACGACTTTTTTTTCTGGCCAGAGACTTCGCAGCCCACTATGAATACAAGTATTGCTGGTCATCATTCGGAAAAATCTTCCTGCGTAAAAATGATGGTACCGAAATAATTCGCATCAATTGGGAAGAAGACATTTATCGTTTGAAAAGTCAAAAATGACTAGGAAATACCTACGTAACGTATAATATGTATTATCATGTAATAACAATTAGTAGCTCCGCGTATAAAACATCTAATTTGGCTTCGCTCAATATTACTAAATACTTTAAACACAACATACTCATAACACCACAAAACATTTCACATTCAAACATTATCACTCATAAATCACTATTACACACAATTATTCACAAACATAAATCACTGTTAAACTTATTTATACATTCGAAAAATACAAAAAATATGCTCTTCTTTCTAATAATGGTTTTTCTAAGTCTCAAATTATTGACATCAGATAGGTATCAGAATGAAAAAGATACTACTCGAAATACCCACAATTTAACCTCTAGACACACAAAATTAAAGTACTTATCAATGAGATATTCCTTAAGTTCTTACCAGTACAGAGCTTGACGATGTCTCATGTGATCTAGACACCCTTAAGACAGCTAGTAGCTGTATCTGCGATGTCGAAGAGGTAAAAGACAAAATATCACATGATAATAACTGGGTAGTACTTTCCCAGAACATTAGAAGCATTCACTGTAACATGAATCAAATTGATGTGTTAATTTCTAGACTAAATATCGATATCGATATAATTGTTCTGTCGGAATGTTGGCTTAAACAGGCAGTGAGCCCACCATCTTTACCAAATTACAATTATTTTTATACGTTAAACTGTGTTACACAAAATGAAGGGGTCGTCGTTTATATGAAGGATACTATTGCTGCCGAAGTCACAGAACCACCATTTGTAGATGCAAATTGCCTGGTAGTTAAACTTCCAAATAGTATATGTTTAATTACAATATATCGACCACCATCTCACAAAAAAACAGAAATTTTTCTAAATTCATTAAATAATGTAATCGATTCTTTGAAGTCCTATAAAAACATATATATAACAGGAGACATTAACATAAACATACTAAATAATGACAACAAATCAAATGACTATCAAAATCTATTGGCTTACCATGGTTTCCTTCCTGGCCATATGTTCCCTACTCGAGACAAGAACTGTCTGGACCATATAATTGTAAAATCTTACTTAAGAACATCTATTGCAGTTATGAAAACTACTATTACAGATCATTTTTCATCTATACTCAGTATAAGTAAGAACAATCACGCCCCAAAAAATTTTGCCGGTTACAAAACTATTGATCTTGAGGCTACAGTCAAAAGTTTAATACAAACAGATTTCAATCCAATCTTGGAATGCAATGATACACATATAAGCGCAGAACTACTTGTCACTAAAATCACAGATATTGTAGATGAAAATACCAACGTCAAAACTGTATCAAATAGGAAAAGAATAATACAATCTTGGATTACGCCAGGTTTATTGCGGTGTATCTGAAAGATATTTTTTACATTTGGCGTGTAGTTAGGTTAAAATAGGCGAGTTCAAATATAGAAACTTTTGTAATGATTTATTAAAAAAAGTAGAACGATCGTATAATAAACAAAAATTAAATGAAGCAAAAAATAATATAAAGAGGACGTGGAGCGCGATTAGAGATATAGCTAAACTAGGAAATAAAAATAACAATGACTTTAGCCCCCTCCTCCGATTGAAAGATAATCCGCAACACTCTATAAACACCGTAAACGAGTACTTTGCTAATGTTGGCAAAGAACTATCAGAAAAAATTCCCAAGAGAAATATTACATCTCCAAATAATAAATCAAAACTTCCTTCTCTTAAATCTTTCGTACTCAGTACGACTGATTATAACGAAGTATTCTCTACAATTAGAAGTCTGAAACAGAGTGCTGCTGCTGGTATTGATAACATATCTTCTAAAGTCCTCAATATGGCCATACACGTCCTTGTGCCTCCAATTACACATATATGCAATCGAAGTTTTGACGAAGGTATCTTTCCTAATTGATTTAAAACTGCTCTTCTCAAACCTATTTATAAAAGTGGAGACATAGCTACTGTCGGCAACTATAGACCGATATCTATCTTACCCTCTTTGGCAAAAGTACTAGAACGCTTAATAAATAAAAGGTTAACAAACTATTAACGTAAATTTAAAATTATCTCAGAAAATCAGTATGGTTTTACACAAGGAAAATCAACGGAACAAGCAGTTAATAAGTTAACCTCACTCGTTATTCAACAATTAGAAAAAAATAATAAGTGCCTTGCTATTTTCTTGGACCTAACAAAAGCCTTTGACAGCCTCTCTATTCCTTTGCTTCTGCATAAATTGGGTATAGAATATAGGTATCAGAGGCACTGCCCTAAACCTATTCAACAGTTATTTAAACAATAGGAGTCAAAGAGTGTAAATAGGCAATATCTTAAGCGACTCTTGTCATACATCCTACGGAGTACCACAAGGTAGTATACTCGGACCTAGCTTGTTTCTAATTTATATAAATGACCTTTCTAACATGAAATTGAACAATGGTCAATTATTGGCATTTGCAGATGATACAGCCATAGTTTTCCATGGTGCATCTTGGGAAAAACTGAAACAAACGGTTGAACATGAACTCAATAAAGTTATGGTTAACCTTCAACAAAATTCACTTACATTAAATCTAAACAAAACCAAATATCTTACCTTTACGAAATCAAGTCGCCTTCAAACAAAAGATATGCAAATTAAAGCTCATAATTGTTCATTACTGAAAAACTTCATACCCTGTTCATGCACCACATTAGAACGAGTAACGACGATGAAATATTTGGGTATTTACATAGATTCTATAATGTCTTGGAAACACCAAACTGAAATGCTTAGTAAAAGAATCCGCAAACTTGTATTTGTATTCAAACGACTAAGAGCTGCCGCAGACTTACATGTCTTAAAAGTCACTTACCTTGCTTTATGTCAGTCGTTAATAACCTATTGCATCACATCTTGGGGTGGTACTTATAAAACGTATATGATGAAAATTGAAAGAGCTCAAAGGGCGGTACTTAAAGTTATTATGTCCGAGCCCTATCGATACCCGACAGAGCAGCTATACATAGAAGTGGGTGTACTCACAGTGAGAAAGTTATTTGTTCTTAACACTATAGTTTATACTCATACCAACATGTGCTACAACCCAAAAATTGTTGTAAATACCAGAAGAAAAGCCAGACTTTAAAAATCACATAAAATATTCTTCTTTCGCTCAGCACCATCAACTCTTCATTGGTTCATTTATTTATAATAAAATAAATAGTATACTTGACATTTATTCAATGACTCGCTCCAAATGTAAAAAAGCAGTTACGGATTTTTTACGGTTAAAAACGTACGAGGAAATTGAAAATCTTATTAAATCCTCAATATAGGAAAAAATATTTCATTAATTAATTATTAAACACACCAATTCCCTATATAAATACACAGTTTAGTTTATGTTTTCTTTTTCTTTTTAGTTGACACACATACACGAACACACGCACTCACACACTCACACGCACATGTGAATATTGTGTGAACTTTTTTTTTCATTTAATTCTTTGTAACACATAAATACATTATTTGTACATTTGAACTCTCGTTTAAACATTCAATTAGGCTAAATTGAACTCGGTGATTATTTTTGTTTGTGGTATAAACAGTACGTATTGTGTTCGGACAAAATGATAACGAGGGTTCGCGCTAATAGTCTTGGCCGCGCTGATGCGGAGCATGGTGACCGTATGTCGCCACTTGCGCATGAACAGCCTGCGTTCCCCCCGGTGCATGGTGCACACACGCAGCCGTTCCTGCCTTCGCCGATGGAGCCGCAGGCTATGACTTCGGCTTCCACCACCATCAATATGACCGACGCTCAACTACACCAACTAATTGCTGCGCTTCGCATGCCAATTCCACCGAACGCTGCTAGCGCGATGGGGAGTCACAGCAATTTCGCCAGATGTACTGCACGCTTCGATGGAGCTCTCACTACCGACGTCATCGCCTTTATTGAGGCGATTGAAATTTACAAAGAATGTGTCGCGATGGAAGAAAGCATCGCTCTTCGCGGCCTTCCCATGCTATTGACCGGGTTGGCTGGTATATGGTGACAAGGAGTGAAACATTCGGTGTTCTCATGGACCGACGCGATCCTGCTTCTAAGGCAGAGCATTTGGACCTCGTCGTCCACCACATAAGGTGTAACGCGAACTCTTCAGCGTAGAGCAGACGAACGAGAAGACAGGCGTATTTGTGTGCAGGGCAAGAGCACTCATTGCACAACTGCCACCAAATACACTACCAGAGAATCCTGTGCAGCTAGACATGATCTACGGTCTCCTACACCGGCGCATCAGAGAGAAGGTTCCACGAGCTTCCTTCGTGACGTTTTCGGAGCTGCTGGAAAAGGCGCGCGCCGTCGAAGACCTCCTGGATGAAGGTCTCACTTATACCCAGATGCGCCCTACTGCGTCTAATTACCCAGCAAAACCAGCTATGACTGTTCCTCCGGTCACAGTACCTTCATCAGTTCCTGTATGCACGCCGACGGAAAGTGGTGTCATGACTCCAAAGAAGAGATCCCGCTGTGCATATTGCAAAATGTATGGGCGTGATAAGGAGTCATGCCGGAAATTGTCCTCGCCTAAGAAATCTGCGCCAGCCAGTTCCACCGTTACGAAGGATCTTGAACAGAAACCTGTACCCATAGTGTGCTATGGAAGTAGTGCTCCTGGCGTTATTAGATCGCAATGTTCCTGATGTAAGAAGAAAGATGACGTCAAGGAGGAAGTTCATACCTAAGAGGCTATCAGTAGCC